CAAAAATCAGAAAAAACCAAAATACAAATTAATTTTCTAGTTACTAAGGCCTCGTTTGGGAATAGGCTAATTTAGTAACTTTTTAGCTATTTGGCTAAAAAGGTAGGTAAAAAAAACTTGTATGTTTGGGATGACTTTTTGGCTAATTACGAAAAGATGTGCAAAAAGTAGAGAGAAAAGAGAATCTTTGATTTTTTGGTATGAGTTGTTGGCTTTTTGGCTAATTTAATAACTTTTTGACTAATTGGCTAAAAAAGTAAATCCCCAAACGGGGCCTAAAACTAGAAAATAAATTATAACACAAAATAATTTTATTTTCCTTATTACTAAAACTAGAAAAATAAAATGTCACAATAATTTTCTGTGACACAAATTAATATTCTATAATTGTTAATGACACCAGTATATTACTATTGTATATTACTACTAGTTGTCAAAGAAAATAGACAGTATATTACTACTATCTGTCAAACAGTATATTACTACTATTTGTTTTTCAACTAGAATATCACTTTTGTGAAAACATAGAAAATTAAATACAATGAAGACACCAAAAATGAATCTGTCTTAAGATTGTTAGACAATCTTCATTGTATTTAAATAAATAAACTCTGTTTGTGTATTAAACAACAAATATAATACAAAAGAAAATAGGAAAGGAGAGAGATTGTTTGATTACAAAAATTAAACCAATAAAATTAAATAAATAAAAACAGATTTTATTTTGTTACAAAAACAAAATCAAAATCTGATATAAATAAATAAAAACAGAAAATAAATAAACAACTTGATTAAATTCTTGAACAATATTCTGATCAAGTCCAGTGTTGGACATTGTGTCCTTAAGATAGATTTGTCATCTCTACGCTACTTTCAGAAAATGGACGTCTATCTTCCAAGATAAAATGATCAATCAACGAAAAATAGTAGCACTACAAATTTTTCATACAATGAACACACTAAGTGTTTATAGTCTATCTCACAGAAAATTAGATGCAGCAAAATGCAGAGAGCAGTAGTAGATTTAAGGACAAAAATTGGAGTGAATATCCAAATGAGGGACTGCCTTTATATAGATGGAGTGATGGCTGTTAATTTTGAATTAAACAAGTGCAAAACCTACTTGAACAGGTATGGTTTGAATCAAACAGGTAAGACACTATTTCAACAGATAAATTGTTTGGGTTTGAAATTTAAACAGATTTGAAATATGTTCGGGTGGAACAGATTTGAATCTGTCCGAACCTGTACAAAATTCTGAAGAGGTGCAACAGTTGAATTTGAATTTGAAATTAAAATTTCGGACAAATTTTATTTTAATAAAAAAAATAAAATAAAATTCAAATGTTTTTGGCCCAAAAAGATAAGTATTGGGTCAAACAAGCCCAACCCAACCTCACACCACGCACCCAAGCCAGCCCGACCGGACGGACGGCAACTCGCTTGTGTGGTGATTTTTGAGTCCAATGGGTCTAACATATTTTACCCATAACCTTACTCTCTACAAAACTTAGGTTCTCCTTGGGGCCTACCCCAAGCTCCAACTTCAAGCCTTATAAATCCATTCAAAGTTTCCCACTAAATCAATGTGAGACAAGTCAATTATCAAACCTTAAGGAATTTTCACCAAAAACTCCATTTCCATGGCGCTCATTTTGGCTTCAATTTTTCATTCACTCGATAATGGTTTTGAGTAACCAAATATACCACGTGAATCACAACGCAACATAAAACGCGTTACCACTTAGACCCGCCAACTTTGGTGCATGGGTTCCATCTAAAAATTAGACAAAAGTTTAAGAAAAATTCTATTTTTTCAGAATTTTCAAAGCCATTTCTAACAAAAATGTGTAATAAAAAATTATATAAATAAGTGTATAGGAGAAGTAAATGTAACAGGCTGTACGACACCTTTTTCTAGGCAGAGTGTAGGAGATAAGGACATGATTTTTACGAAAAAATATGTAATAAAAAATTGTATAAATAAGTGTATAGGAAAAATAAGTGTAATAGGCTGTACACCTTTTTCTGGGCAGAGTGTAGGAGATAAGGACATGATAGCCTCCATCGCGGGCAACCATTTGGACTGTGTTGTTTGGCCCGTAAGGCCCACCACGAGTCCCATTTTGATAATTTGAACCGTTCAATATGTAGAACTCGTCGAGTACTATATGGTTATAAAAAATCACATTAATCGGATATCAAAATCACATTGATCGGATTAATTTTTGTTCACCAGTTAACTATAACACCATTTATTTATTTTTTTATACAAAACTAATTTGATCATATAGTTAGCGATATCTGATCAACATGATTTTTTACACGCATATAATACTCAACGATTTCTACATATTGAATGGTTCAGATTATCAAAATGTGGCCCGTGGTGGCCCCCAAGGTCTGAATAGTACAGTCTAAATGCTTGCCCGCGAAGGCGGCAATCATTTCTAGACCAGTACAACACACCAATCACGCGGACAACCATCACTTCAGCAAAAAATTGAGTTGTATTTTTTTATGTTTAAATTTTTTTTTTGTATTTTTTTTTGTTAATAATAGTGATAACTTTTTAACTTTTTAAGTAATTTTTTGACTTTTTATCTTTTTCAAGACAGGCAAACCAGGCCTTTGATTGCTGTAAATGACATTCGTTCCACATTAATGACTGCGAATTACCAATACACAATGATAGCAAGAGGCCCATTTTATAAAACCTATTTTAATTCTATAAAAAAAAAAAATTGAAAATAGTATAGCCATTTTAGATTGAATTACTCGCCTATACAATTCATCCCATTAACAAGTTTTCTAAAAGACATTGGCTAACTAAGTTTTAAAAAATATAACATTATTTATAATACGCAATTCAATCCTTACAAATTTGCTATTGAGGTGTGGTTTGATAACATTTGCAGTTTATTTATTTATTTTTTACAAAAAATATTAAACATTTTTATCTTTATTTTTACCAAAAATAAAAATAAAAGGATTATTTACAAAGAGACTCCTTAATTATTGAGAAATGTCACTTTGACCTCTTAAACTATAAAAGTATACAAATGAACTCTTTAAACTATTAAGAAGTATCACTTTACCTCATAAACTATAAAAACGTACAAATTGACTCCCTAAACTATTGAGAAGTATCACTTTGACCCTCTAAACTATAAAATCATACAAATTGAACTTCCGAACGGAATGGGCCAAAGTGACACTTCTCAATTAGTTTTAGAGACAAAGTAATACTTCTCAATAATTTAAGAGGCTTTTGTGTAAATAATCCAAAATAAAAACATATTTGGTATACACATGTTTTAAAAACTTATTTTGAAAACAAGTGAGAGATATAGTTGGCGAAAGGTGGTCGTTAAAAGTGGACATCGACGGAAGTGGTTGCGGAATGTGATTTTCAACTGGAACGGTAGTTGAAGGTAGTTTGTCAAAGATAGCTACCAGTTGTGGGAGGTAGTGGTCAAAGATCATTAACGATAGTGGCCAGATGTGGTGGCTAATAGTGGTAAATGAACAGTGAGTGGTGGCCGAATGATGTGAGAGAAGAAGAAAAGAAACAAAAGTAGACAATCAAATGAGTTTTTGTTTATAATTTTTAATTTTATATAAATATAAACATTAGGGAACAAAAGCTTAAGTGTTCTTAAAACATTTTTCAACGAAATTCATATGTTTATATAATTAATAAGCTTAAAACTCACACAAATAGTTATGCTGTAAGAGTTGGTCTGTGGGTCATTCCTTCATTAATGTATTGATCAATCATGGGCGGTGGAGGAGAAGATTCCAACTTATGCACTTGACTTCAACTTGAAGACATATAAAATCTCCATTAGAGTATTACAAGTACCAGATATCTAGGGATACTCTGGTAATTAACAATTCATCACCCATTGACTAATGGATGGTTGAGAGCAAGTATTACCTATTGTTACCAATTTACAACCCTTCATATTAATCTTTCAGATATATTATGATGATGATGTGTAGCTTTTAAGGGTTGTTGAGCATAATATTAAGCGTGTTGGGCACATGCATTGAATATGATTGTCCTGTCTACGGAACCCTTCAGAAATATTTTCCTTCAAAGTCAACTTGGTGATGAGAATATCATATTTATAGCACAAAACTGTGTGCTTGGTGAAATTTATATGAATTTATAGGTATTTTGTAATTTTATTTTGGGAGAAGTAATTTAAATAAGCTCATTATCTGGAGGTTGGGAGAAAACGTGTTTTTGGCTTCTATTTTTGATTATTGACTTTTAATTTATAAGAAATTATACCAAATAAGCCTAGTGTGATGAGAATCTCAAAATAAATTCATTTTGTGATGAGAATCTCAAAATTTTGTGTTTTTTTGAAAATAAGTAATATATTTTTTTGGTTAACAACGCGATAAATTGAATAAGTTATAATTATTGGATCGACGTAATTTTTTGTTTAGATGAAATATATAAAATGCTTAATAAAATAAACAGTTCGGATCATTAATACGGAAATGTGGCGGGCCTCATAGGCCCAAATAGCGTCCTCCCGTCCAAAATTTGAATTGAAGAGCCTCCTCCTCCATTTTAAAATGCGATCGTATGACTTGAATTGTATTGAAAATAAAAACATAGAGGATCTCGTGTCCATATATAACTAACTTCAATTCAGATTTGGATCTAGTTTGAACAATAAATGTTTATTATGTCAGCACTTTTTATAAATTAATAATTCATATTTTGTTCACCTATTCGCAACCTAATATTAGATCCAAGAAAAAAACAATTAGTGGGTTAATAGATAGACACAATTTAAATATTTGATTTACGAAAATGCAAAAATAGCACAATGTGAGAGCTTGGACTATTCCCTCTTGTCCTTACATGAACCGCAGAGAACCCATTTTACTAAAATAATACCATGGGGCGGCATAGTTATATAATACTACCAAATTGGTTGACTTTTATTGTGGGTGATCAAATGAGTTTTGACTGTTATTGCATGGCTATATAAATCAAACAAACAACAATCCATATATCAAAATTAAAATCAAAACCTCTAAAACTCTATTTGTTCTTAGTCCAAGTCTGGTCTCCATCAATGGCTTTGGATTTGAACACCAACTTTGCTCTTCCTAATTGCCTCTTCTCTCTAGTTGTTGCATTGATAATAGTCTCTGTGACACTCTCATTGATGCAGAAAAAAAAGAACAATGAGAAGGAGAAGAAACTCGAGGTTCCACCAGGCAAAATGGGACTTCCATGGATTGGAGAAACAATGGAGTTTTACAAAGCCCAAAAAAACAACCAAATATTTGAAGATTTTGTTCAACCCCGGACTGCGAAATATGGAAAAATCTTCAAAACAAGGCTGATGGGGTCGCCAACAGTGGTTGTAAATGGAGCTGACGCCAATCGATTCTTGTTATCCAATGAATTCAAGCTCGTGATAAGCTCATGGCCATCTTCGTCGGTTCAGCTCATGGGGAAGGACTCCATCATGGAAAAACAAGGCAACGCGCATCACTGCCTTCGCGGTGTAATAGCCAAAAGCCTTAGCTATGCTAGCTTAGATGCTATGGTGCCCAAAATATGCGACTCGGTGACGTCGCATTTAGATAAATATTGGAACAACCAAAACAACATTAGTCTGTATCGAACCACAAAAATCTTGACGTTTAAGATTGTGTTCGAGTGCTTGTTAGGGATGAAAGTGGAGGCAGAGATGGTGGGAATGTTTGAGAGAGTGCTGGAGGGGGTTTTTGCTCTGCCTATTAGCTTTCCCGGGTCCAAGTTTTCAAGGGCAAAAAAAGCAAGGAAGGAGATAGAAAACGTGTTAGTTGATATAGTACAACAGAAGAGGAAGGAGATGGAAGAAAGTTCCCGAAGAGGAGAGGAAGAAGGAGAAGAAGAAGAAGAAGAAGGGTCAATGTTATTGTCTCGGTTGGTGGTTGGCCTGATCCGAGGGGAGATTACAGAGGAAGAGGTGGTCGATAATGTTGTGTTGCTCGTGTTTGCAGCCCATGACACGACTTCTTTCGCCATTGCCATGACGTTTAGGATGTTGGCTCATCACCCAAATTGCTTCTCTCTTCTCCTTCAAGGTATACTTAATTATTACTACTCTGTTCAAATTGAAAAAACATCATTGTTACATATTATAACGTCAATATGAATCTAATTCCAGAACATATGGAGATATTGAGCAACAAAAGAGGAGGTGGCGAAAATCTGACGCTGGAAGACACCAAGAAGATGAAATATACCTGGCAAGTTGCTCGGGAGAGCATGCGATTGTTCCCTCCTATATTCGGATCGTTTAGAAAAGCGATTGTCGACATTGAATATGAAGGATTCATCATTCCTAAAGGATGGAAGGTGCTCTTTCTATACTGTAATCTCCATCAAATATCATACTAGTGTTCTACTTTTTATAGACTCGGGTACGAGTGTTGGATGCTAGTATATATCTTGAGGTCGGACTCGACAAACCTCTAAACGAGGATATGCGAGTATGTCTAAAAAGTACTCAAAAATTAGACACGGATCCATAGATACAGCTAAATATGGATGTCAAAAAAATATTATGTATTTTTTACGCATCCCACTGCAATATAAAATATAAAAATTATTTTAAGTATAAAATAATTTATATTATATATGATTTTATTATATATATTTTTTGATTTATTATATATATATATAAAATAAATAAAATAATAATTTATGTATATAATTACTTTATAATATAAATAATTTATATTATATATGATTTATTTTATTATATTATATTTGATTTTTTGTTATCGGTTAGAGAGAGAGAGAGAGAGGAGACAGATCGACAACAAGAGAAATCGAGAGAGGAGAAGAAAAAGGGAGATCAAGAGACAAGAGAAGAGATAAGAGATAAGACAATTAAGATCAAAGTCGATAGATCGAAGATGTTGAGTTGACGTCGAGCGAAGAAGATGAGATTGAAGTTGACAGATTGAAGTCGACAGTTGACTAGGTTCTTTCCTATTTCGTTTCTTCTACCATATTCATATATAAAGAGCTGTTTCGTGCACCCGTGTCGTGTTGAAAAAAAAAAAAGAGCTGTATCCTGCACCCGTGTCGTGTTGACACAGGTACCTCCGAAATTCCAAAGAGTCTGTGTAATGTAGCTTGTGTTGCAATCGTGCAAGGAATATTAGAAGAATTTTTGTCCAAAATAACGTGGCAGCACGAGTCTTATCATTTTACCAAAAAAAAAAAGTCATTATCGTGACTTATATACATGTTTCTTTTATTAAACAAGAATGATTCATCCCACTAAAAACATCACCACTAATAGCACTAATGCATTAAAAAAGTAAAAAAAAAAAAAAAAAAACACAACTCCAAGACCAAAACATCACATCATTAATGGCGGGACCTACTGCCACCTAATTAGTGGGAGCACTAATTAGTGCTCCCAAGCATTTTTCTTTATTAAAATGTCACCATTGCATAATTCTAAGATGAAATTATGTATATATTTTCCGTTTGTGAATCATTTTACCGTACTTCCAGTACTCAATACACAAGCTGATCAAGCAGGTACTTGTTGACTAAATTAATACTGATTTAACAACAATAAACGGAATATAAAAAAAAAAAAACATTGGGATCACAGAAAAATGTATTAATTATTATCACTGCTGTGATGTGATCATCTACATCTGATAATTATGTACATGCAGGTACTGTGGACTACATATGGAACACATTACAATGGGGAGTATTTCAGAGACCCTATGGAATTTGATCCGAGTCGGTTTGATGAAGCGATTCAACCATATGTATTTGTACCATTCGGGGGAGGACCTAGAGTGTGCGCAGGGTACCAACTGGCTAAGTTAAATATGCTAATATTTGTTCATTTTGTTGTAACGTGTTATCATTGGTCGTTACAATATCCGGAAGAGCCAATCACTATGGATCCCCTTCCATTTCCTTCCCAGGGAATGCCCATAAACATTTCCCCCAAGTTGTTATAAGAGCACATAAAACTACAAGTCATGATGTAGAAATTACTTTTGATTTTAAGCATGCAAATATATATGATAGTTTTTGTCCAAATAATGTGATAGTGACTTTTTACCAGAGATGTTATGCTTGGCGGATAAAAATAGAATACGCTGAATCAATGTTCCAAAAATTAAAATTTTAAGGGGGAGAGGGAAATGAGCCACTAACTCATTTTTTGCATAGATGATAAGAATTTAATTTCACTATTTTTTTTTTAAACGTGTTACGTGAAAGAGAAAAGTAAACAGCAAATGACAAATGAAAAATGTTAAAAAGCTAAACTTTGCCGTTGCTGAAATGGCAACAACAAGGCAACTTGAAATGAAAGATGATAAACTAAAAGAAAAATGTTTGGTCATTCGAATTTGTGTGGTTCGAATGGTTCAAAATATATCAGAACGACGTCAACGATGTCGTTTTGAAACATTCGAGCTATAAAAATTCGGATTACCAAACATTGTTGAAACTAAAGGTTGGTTTGGAATGTTCTAAAAAAATACACTTTTTGACTTATTGGCTTATATGGGTTGGGTTTGGGTTGAGTTTGATGTGATGTGTTAGAGATGTGATGTGATTTAAATAAAATGATGTGACTTAAATAGAATAGCGACTTTTTGACTTTTTTAATTTATGCCAAACCAACCCACATCACATCAAACCCAACCCAAACCATATAAGTCAATAAGTCAAAAAGTGCACTTTTTTAGAACATCCCAAACCAACCCTAAAATTGCTAAAGTAATGGAATGAAAAACAACTGAGCAATTGTTCCTCTCTCTCTCTATCTCTCTCTCTCTCTCTCTCTCAACACTCCTTTTTTCAAGGATGATTCCAACTCCGAGGAGTTTCTACTATCTTGTGAGAAAGAGATAAATTCATTCCAAAGAGTTCTACAACTGGTTAGATTGTGATTCTACATCTCAATAAGCTGACCATGCAGTCACGCCCTATGCGAAAATTTGCAAAATCTAGGGTTTGGACTGGTTGAGTGAATTTGAATTGATAAAATTTTGGATTCAAAAAATTCTGCCAAGTAAAAAAAAAATCGATTTGGAATTCAAGAAATATGGGTTTTTAATATATATTTTTTTATTAATTCAGATGAAAAGTCAAAGAGATTTTGAAGAATTTATAAGTTGTAGAGAAACAAGCATACTTCTATCCAAAATGTGACTTCCAAGTCTCTCTCTCCACTTTGGTTTGTCCAAAAAAAAAAACCAAGGCAACAATCAACTTCTAATATGAAAAAGGAAAAGTCTGGGTCATCCAAAATTTTCTGAGTGGATGGTTGTGTGGTAAAAATTAAATTTGTAGAGTGTGAGGTTCGTGTGTAGAATAAATCTAAACTACGATATGATAATTCTGGGTAGTTAAGTCTGGATTTGTAGCATTACTGTCTAAAAAATTGTTATATTATACAGCAACAGCAAATTATTTACACTTTATATAGTGATCCCGGTTTTCCCTCCATTGATTATTGTAACTCGGACTTGGTTCCGTGGGTGTTGGTTGTTGTTGTATCTTGTTTCCGTCCTTCGATTCTTTGTATATGAGCTTTAGGATGTGTTGGGCGTGTTTCGAACAGGTTAGTTGAGCTTAAGTCCCATTCCTAGTTGCCCAGATTTTTTCGTGGTCTGCTCGAGCAGTTCCCTTTACGCTCGAGCGGGGTTTACACACTCTCAGCATTTCGTGCCTCTGCAAAATTTCTGCAGGTGTGTTTTTCACGCTCGAGCGGATTTTCTTACGCTCGAGCGGGTATCTTGGCGCTTGAGCGGGTAGTTCATTGTCTGTAAAAGTACTGGAAGGGGGAAATCTACGCTTGAGCGGCTTTCCTTTTGCGCTCGAGCGGGTCCAGTTTTTGTGTCTGAGGCTCGAGCGTCCTATTCTCCGCTCGAGCAGGTCATACGTATATCAGTAGACAGCAACGGGATTACACTTCACTTTTTCATCTCTTTCTTTTTCAAAAACCCTAGATCTGAGCTCTCTCTCTCTCTCTCTAAACAACTTCTCTCTAGGGATTGATCTACTTCTAGTGAGTTTCTAGCCTAGGCTCTTTGTAAGAAAGATAGAGGGTGTTGAGGGCTTCCTTTCAATATGAAAAATCTTGGATTTGGAGCACTTTGGATTTTGGTCATCTCCTCCATTTGAGCTTTTCATGTCGAGGTAGGGATATCCTACTCCTTCTTATGGGTTTTGACTTAAATATTTGTCATTTTGATTAGTCAGTGTTGTTGGGAAATTTTGGAGAAAGCTAGGATTTGGTTTGTAATTTATAAAAGAGGAGTTTTGTGTTTAATAATCCCATGTATATTTAAGGGCTTGGAAATATGAGTTTGAGAGTTAAGTTGGTGGAATTTGGTCTTAGGATCAATATTGAGAAAAGGGGGAAAATACCCTATTTGTGTTGAATAATTAATTTAAATAATTAATTTGGGAAAATGTGAAATTGAGTTGAGAATAATGAAATTGGGAAATTGTGGGAGTACATGGTGTAGTTGGATAATTTAATCACTCACCTATGAGATTGTCGATATTTTATCTGTTGATGAATTTAATATCTGTTTAGAGATAATTGCTTTGGGCTATCGGTGGAGGATAGTCTTGATTGTTGTAGACACTGTATGTTGATCAGGGAAAACTGAAACTAATCGAACGTGTTATGTCATTGAATGTGATGGTTGAAATAATACAGCAAAAAGTGTATTGATTGATCATGGTATGTAATGAAGTGCTTAAAAACATTATATATGTATCTTTATTTGGGAGAAGATAGGGGATGTACTCCAGTGTGTGAGAGGAGATAGGGGATGTACTCCACACACATGTGTTCATATACTTTAACACATTATGTATGTAACTGGTTTGGGAGGAGATGAGAGATGTACTCCATATGTGTTCATATACTTTAATACATTGCTTGTGCATCTATATTTGGGAGAAGATAGGGGATGTACTCCATAGGTGGTTATATGTTTAGATACATTATGTTTGTATCACAAATTGAGGGGAGTTGGGGAATGTACTCCATAGACAATTAAGTTGGCCGAGGCGTCCGGGATGAAAGTTCCGAAACCTTATAAAGTGAAATATTAGTTACGTGAGATGTAGTCTTATTTTGAAACATGGGTAACGGAAGAGTTAACAAGTCGAGTGGTAGTCTCACTTAAATTGTTTCGTTAGATATTGAACCATAATTAGGAACTGATCTGGACAAATAAGGGAAGTGGATGGTAGCATGGATGTAATTGTTGTCGGGTTACGAGAAGGGTGTGATTTGGTGTATACGTGTCGATCGTTTATTATGTGATAATGTTTTAGTTATTTCTCGTATTGGGTTTAGCATATTCCTATTGGGCTTTGGCTCACCTTACTTAGGACACTAATTTCAGGTGTAGGAGACGTGCCAAGTTCAAGATTTTACTTGGGAGGTCTTCAGAGTTGAAGACTCTGCTTTGTTTTTTTTTATTTTGTTGATTATATGTAAATGCAAGCTGAGGGCTTTACCTGTAATAGAGTTAGAACTTTTCCTTTGATTGACCAAGTAACCAAGTAACAACTTGGAAAGATGTAAGCCTGCAGGGCATTCTATTATTTTGTGAACATTTGTAATTAATATGAAATACACTTTTGTAATGTTAACCCTGATGTTTGTATGGTAATGTAAACTATCTATCATGTTTATGGAAGGGTCGGATGTGGGAATTATGTATTATTTTGAGGGCATTACAACTTGGTATCAGAGCGTACCGGGTTCGAATACTTTGGGTACGCGGGAAGTGGTTAGTACCACAATGGGTTTGTCTCGCTTGTTAGAGATTTATGCATGATGTTATGTGTTTACTTGATAACATGTTTATGTGACTATATGGGTATGGGGTTTAGTTTCTAGGATGTTAATTGGATCCTTGGGTTTCTGAGAGTCCTATTGGAAAAGCTCTTGATCAATCTTGTTTCTAACCAGAACTCTAGCAACGCCTCGGGACTGTCATTATCCGAAAATGAAATTCGTAAGTGCTTATGTGATTATGTGCTTACGTGGAATGAATTACAGTTGCCCAATGCTTTAGAACGCGAGTGAAATAGTTTCGGTACATTTAAAAATGTATTAATACCTTTGTTACTTTTACTAGGATGCCTAGACGAGGAAGTTTGGATTTCCCTCCTTCCACACGGGAAGAGTTGCGGAAACAGTTTGTGGAGTTACGCCAAGGTACTACACCTTTGGTACAGTTTGAGGCTTGGTTTGCTAACCTGTCGAGATTTGCCCCAGAATTAGTGGAGACAGAGGAATTGCGTTGTTCAGAGTTTGAGAGTAGGCTGTGTGACGACATCCAAGAAAGGATTGCTGGGTCTTGGCATAGGAGCTATAGTGTGCTCGTTAAGGCGGTAGCTCATGTAGAGGCAGCAGTGCTAACTATAGGTCAAAATAGGGATGAGTCCATGGTTGTGAGTGTTGGTCAGGATAGGGAGGAGGCCATCTCGACAACTCCTACGGTTTATAGGTACTCCAGGCTCAGTAAGGGGTGGAGGTGAAAGTATGCTCCGTCCCAGACTAAGTCCTTTTCTTCGCCAAGGGTTTCGGACTCTTCTGTTGGGAGATCCAGAGAGGTTCAGGTTTCAAGCCAGTCTCAGAATAAGGGGTCTGCTGGTTGTTTCAGATGTGATCAGCTGGGCCACAAGTCTTCGGTTTGCCCACAGAGGAAGAGGGCAGGATTGGCAGTTCGACTAGTAATTGTCCCACCAGAATCATCTAGCCAGCCAGGTTTTGGGTCGATCGAATGCTCATTGGGGAAGCAGTTGTTGGGGCCTCCATCAGCTCAGTCTTTGAACCAGTCTCATGCTTGGGAGCCACTTACTTGTTGGGTGTGTAATTAGCCAGGTCATATCAAATGTTTCTATACTCAGCCAGGGGCTTCTTTGGGAGTTTTGCAACCTAGTCGGGTCCAGCCTTATTCGACAGGACAGGGGCACCACCGTTTTGGGGGACAAACAGGCCAGATTTCGAGGGCCTCAGGAGAGTTGAGTTCCCAATCCCCAGTTGGGGAAATCTGCAGTTGTTCCAAGTGTGGCCAGTTGGGGTACATATGTAGTTCTTGTCCGTGGCCTGTAAGCTCGTAGAATGTCTTGGGTTTGAGAATGACCAACTTTAACGGTCCAGCGAGGGACAGTAATAGTGGTAATACTGATGGGATGGTTTCGTTTTGACTAATCCGTTTTGTAATCGATGAATTATCGTTTTGTAATCATTGGGTTCTGTTGTGTAACCAATGTATTTTGGGAATGTTAGAACATCAAGGTTGTTTGTTTATATATATATATATATTTATCTGTGCCTGTGCTTATTTATTTTCATGAGATGGGCAAATTGGAGCATGTAGTGACTCTAAAGTCTTATTAATGTGATAAGTTGTGCAACCGTGAACTTTTTGAGTTAATGCATTTGTATGCGTGAGATTTGGCTTAGAGAAGCGAGGGCTGGTGAGCCATGTTTTCAAATCTGGAAGAATTATTGAGGGATGCATGTCTTAGTCAGGACCACTATGGGGCGAGAATAGTTATACTTGCCGAAAGTACGGAATCTCATATGTGTTATCTATTTGATCTTATGTGCGTGGTAGGGATTTTGGTCTATTGCCGTGAGAACTCCTCGAGAGAGTGTAAAGTGTGCAATTAATACTAGGTGTTGTATATTTAACATGATGCTTTACGGAGGCATAGCGCATAATTCCGTTAGGGATAGACTTTTATCTTCATGGCAGGTAACGTTGCCAAATTGGCATATGTACTGATTGGTTGTTTTAATTGAGGGAGTGTTAGTCCCTATATAAGGTTGTGGTTGTTGGCATCGGGGAGTGGTGTGTTGTGAGCAGCTGGTGTTATATCTTGGGCAGTGTTATAATGGGTGTTTCCCTAAGTTTCCAGACTCTTTGTGATGGTAGAATGTGATAGGTTTGCACCTTAATATCGGGTAGGCTAGGAGATGCTATCGGTAAGATTGGTTGGGCGTATAACCCGTGGTTTGGGTGTGACCCGTGAGTAGTCACAGTAGTATGGTGCTTGCGGAGGAAGGTTTGGGATGATAGCGAGGAGGATGAGGACCTTTACTCTTCAATAGAGCTAGGATGGCGAGTCTTTAAAAGCCTTGTTAGCGACATGCGATTGTGCCGGGGTTTGGTTCGGAGTGGTTGTTCAGCAGTAGCAAGGGCTAGTGGTTTGGCACGGAGGCTTAGTGTCTTGATTGTACTCTCGGAATGACTGACAAGTAGAGAGTGGAATAAAGAGTGGACCCTATGGGTCATTAAGGGGGGAAGGTGCTATGTTTGCTTGTATCTAGTACGAACAGTTATGTAATAGTGATAAGTGTCGTGGTGTGGTAAACCCTTGTTAGCTAATTCGGTACGAGGGAATGAGTATGTAATTTTGTCATTATGAGCTCAGTCAAGATAGCGAGTGAAATCTCTGAATGAGAGATTCAATATGGGTGTAAGATAGCTTGCATTAAATAAGAAGGTTTTGCTTAGTACGGTGCGTGACAGTGTGTAGTTCGCATGTTGTTATTAGATGATGTGTAGAAGGGGATAAATTCTAGGGAATCCCAGGAGAATGCCTTGGTAAGGCAATAGTGTGATCACTGATTGAATCGAATGGTTTGATGTTTGGTAAAGCTAGGTCACTTTGGTATAAGTGTCTGTCGTCCAGTTTGGATAGCGGTAACACTAGTGAGGTGAGTGAGGCACTCTGTTAAAGTCGTTTCAACTTGTTTGGTCCTTGTTTGTGTGGTGTAAGGCACGGGGGTGTGCAATGTTATCCTTTGTGTTGTTGCGTTGTTGGGAATTTCAAATTTTCAGGGGTCCCTATCATGAGAGTTTTGTTTTTGAGTGTTGCGTCATCACCGTGAGTATGACGGGTTTTGTGGGATGGTTATGTTGTGATTCACAGGAGGGACATTGGGTACTCTTCATAAACTAAAATGATTTCGAATCGAAACGTGAATTTGCGATCCTTATTTTCAGGAAAATAATCTGAAAAAAATCTTTCCAACTGTGGCCAGTTGTAAATGACGTGTTCAAGTGGTGACAGTATAAGTCTGAATATTTTTGGGAGGAACTGAGTGCTTTGAAACGCAGGAAGTAAATAAAACGATTTCTTTAACCCGAATGGAATATCTTTTGAGAAGTTAAATTTAACCTAGCCTGAGTTGCTGGTTACATGTTGTGTGTCTTTGGCAAGACCTTGAAATTTTGGGGTAGTAACGTACCATAATATTGTTCTTTACCCATGCTTCGTCTTGCGTTCATGTTTTGAGAAAGTTGAGTGGAAGCCTTGTGTACGAATGTTTTCGTGTTTACTATGTTGGGGTATTAAGTATTAAATACTGGTTTGAGTATTGTCGGTAGTCGAAACGTGGTGGATGTCTCAGAACACTGTAGTGGTTGGATGTGTCATGCTGTTATTATTGTTATCGAATCTTTTGAAACAGGACTTTTCCATTAGTTAAGATGTTGTGGAAACATAACGGGGTTGAAGAAACCACTTGGGAAGGTGAATTAGAGATCCAAGAGAAGTAGTCGGATCTATTAGTAGGTAACTGAGTGGTTGTTGAATATTTTGTTATATTGATAAACTTTAAGAACATTGAATATGTCTCCAGTTAAAAAACATTGTGCATGTTTCGGTTTATGGTAGTATTATGTCATATGCCTTGAAATGAAAGTTTAATTTAACATTATATATGTTGGATGTGTTGTAGTAAGGGAAATCTATCATGAACATTGTATATGATATGCAATTGTGAAATATGTGTGTAGAAACTTGTTGAATTTCAATGAAATGCTTGTTGTAGCAAACTGTGAGAAATGCCTCTTGAATAGAGATGGGTTGACCGGTAATGGGTCAGGTTGTGGAATATTGGTTGGTAATGTTATTGAGAATTGAGAAAAACTTGCTTTTGAAACTTGTATCTAATTTCGGGGACGAAATTCTTTAAGAGGGGAAGGTTATAGCGATCCCGGTTTTCCCTCCATTGATTATTGTAACTCGGACTTGGTTCCGTGGGAGTTGGTTGTTGTTGTATCTTGTTTCCGTCCTTCGATTCTTTGTATATGAGCTTTAGGATGTGTTGGGCGTGTTTCGAACAGGTTGGTTGAGTTTAAGTCCCATTCCTAGTTGCCTAGATTTTTTCGTGGTCCGCTCGAGCGGGTCCCTTTACGCTTGAGTGGGGTTTACACTCTCAGCATTTCGTGCCTCTGCAAAACTTCTGCAGGTGTGTTTTTCACGCTCGAGCGGATTTTCTTACGCTCGAGCGGGCCGCGCTCGAGCAGGTATCTTGGCGCTCGAGCGGGTAGTTCATTGTCTGTAAAAGTACTGGAAGGGGGGAATCTACGCTCGAACGGCTTTCTCTTTGCGCTCGAGCGGGTGTGTTTTGCAGTTGTGTCTTGGCGCTCGAACGGACATATTTGCGCTCGAGCGGGTCCAATTTTTGTGTCTGACGCTCGAGCGTCCTATTCTCCGCTCGAGCGGGTCATATGTATATCAGTAGACAGCAACGGGATTACACTTCACTTTTTCATCTCTTTCTTTTTCAAAAACCCTAGATCTGAGCTCTCTCTCTCTCTCTCTGTCTAAACAACTTCTCTCTAGAGATTGATCTACTTCTAGTGAGTTTCTAGCCTAGGCTCTTTGTAAGAAAGATAGAGGGTGTTGAGAGCTTCCTTTTAATCTGAAAAATCTTGGATTTGGAGCACTTTGAATTTTGGTCATCTCCTCCATTTGAGCTCTTCATCTCGAGGTAGGGATATCCTACTCCTTATGGGTTTTGACTTAAATATTTGTCATTTTGATTAGTCGGTGTTGTTGGGAAATTTTGGAGAAAGTTAGGGTTTGGTTTGTAATTTATAAAAGAGGGGTTTTGTGTTTAATAATCCCATGTATATTTAAGGCCTTGAAAATATGAGTTTGAGAGTTAAATTGGTGGAATTTGGTCTTAGGATCAATATTGAGAAAAGGGGAAAAATGCCCTATTTGTGTTGAATAATTAATTTAAATAATTAATTTGGAAAAATGTGAAATTGAGTTGAGAATAGTGAAATTGGAAAATTGTGGGAGTACATGGTGTAGTTGGATAATTTAATCACTCACCTATGAGATTGTCGATATTTTATCTGTTGATGAATTTAATATCTGTTTAGAGATAATTGCTTTGGGCTATCGGTGGAGGATAGTCTTGATTGTTGTAGACACTGTATGTTGATCAGGGAAAACTGAAACTAATCGAACGTGTTATGTCATTGAATGTGATGGTTGAAATAATACAGCAAAAAGTGTATTGATTGATCATGGTATGTAATGAAGTGCTTAAAAACATTATATATGTATCTTTATTTGGGAGAAGATAGGGGATGTACTCCAGTGTGTGAGAGGAGATAGGGGATGTACTCCACACACATGTGTTCATATACTTTAACACATTATGTATGTAACTGGTTTGGTAGGAGATGGGAGATGTATTCCATGTGTTCATATACTTTAACACATTGCTTGTGCATCTATATTTGGGAGAAGATAGGGGATGTACTCCATAGGTAGTTATATGTTTAGATACATTGTATTTGTATCACAAATTGAGGGGAGTTGGGGAATGTACTCCATAGACAATTAAGTTGGCCGAGGCATCCGGGGTGAAAGTCCCGAAACCTTATAAAGTGAAATATTAGTTACGTGAGATGTAGTCTTATTTTGAAACATGGGTAACGGAAGAGTTAACAAATCGAGTGGTAGTCTCACTTAAATTGTTTGGTTAAATATTGAACCATAATTAGGAACTGATCTGGACAAATAAGGGAAGTGGATGGTAGCATGGATGTAATTGTTGTTGGGCTACGAGAAGGGTGTGATTTGGTGTATACGTGTCGATCGTTTGTTATGTGATAATGTTTTAGTTATTTCTCATATTGGGTTTAGCATATTCCTATTGGGCTTTGGCTCACCCTACTTGGGACACTATTTTCAGGTACAGGAGACGTGCCAAGTTCAAGATTTTACTTGGGAGGTCTTCGGAGTTGAAAACTCTGCTTTGTTTTTTTTTATTTTGTTGATTATATGTAAATGCAAGCTGAGGACTTTACCTGTAATAGAGTTAGAACTTTTCCTTTGATTGACCAAGTAACAACTTGAAAAGATGTAAGCCTGCAGGGCATTCTATTATTTTTGTGAACATTTGCAATTAATATGAAATACACTTTTGTAATATTAACTCTGATGTTTGTATGGTAATGTAAACTATCTATCATGTTTATGGAAAGATCGGATGTGGAAATTATGTATTATTTTGAGGGCGTTACACTTTAGTTATGGCTATGTATCCCAAGCCTTGTGGTTGTGGTGGGTTCAAGATACTGAAATTAGCCACTTCATAAAATAAATAAATAAATAATTCCCATAGATAAAATAATGTTCAGAAAAAAGGATTCTTGATAGCTACAAAAAATAAAAGATTTTACTAACTATTCAAAACATTTCTTACAAAGGTGGCGGATCTTTCACACAGTGCAGAGCATCTGGGAGAAGCCTATGTTCCATTGGCTTCAACCCTCTCTTAGACCATCGGTTCACGAGAAAGACTTCCAATTTCCTTACCTGCAAACATTTCAATTCCAAACAATCAGGTTTTTTAGGAAGAAAAAAGAAACCTAAAGAACTACGTGCAACAAAGAAAAAGCAAAAATGTTTTGGCAAATAATGGATTAGCCCCGAGGCTTTCTTTTTCAACATCTACAAAGTAAATACTACAATAAATTTTATGAAATTAACAATTAAAATAATTGATGGGTGCTTGATGTCGTATGAAACAACAACCTCCCACCTTGCCAATGTGTTGAGAAAAATTGGATGGTGCCACTTCATGAAGCCTAATACACATTCTTTGCAACAAAACAGAACAGACTCCATTCAAAATCCAGTTAAAAGCCAGATTTACTTATTAATGATACTACATTTTCAGGGGTTGAAACATGTGTACATATACTTTTTAATTATTATTTTAAACAGAATGTACTTTATTGCTTGTATAGGAAAAATGCACATAGCGTAAGTTGCATGATATTTTTTTTATTTGCCTGACACTAGAGCAGAATCATATAATGTTTGAAGTTGCATATATATATATATATATTGAATACCGATGCAGAAAGTTAATTCAAAGATTTCTTTAAAACAAATATATATATCAACTGATACTAATATATCAGTGATGTCAAAGACCATGTGTTAGTCCCAAGATTAGAATATCTCAACATGTTCACATTTTTTCTTCAAAAAAAAATCTTACACATATTTGAGTATCTGATTATATGGCTAAATCCAAGAAGCTACAGGAGATTTTAATAAAGTTATATTCAGGTAGACATGACCAATAAAAAAAATGCACTTGCTAAAGTCCTAGTTAACTAAAGCCTTCTGGATTTATTTTCAATAAAATGCACTGGCCTTTAGGCTTTAGTTGATACCAATAACATGGTCATGGGTTCAAGTCCACTTTGTGCATTTATGCCAAAGGTTAGGTATCTACCCAATCTAATCCCTCCCAAACACCCATTAATGGATACTAATTGAGTGCTGTTTTATTTTTGTTATAACCAATAAAATGGTCATGGTCAGTGTGAAAGCACAAAACAAGTGTAAACATCTAATATTGCATGCACATTTCCTGTATTAACATCTAAATTTATCTTGCAAGTTGATTGACCCTTACGCTATGAAGCACGGACACGGACACGAACACGGACACGGACACAGACACAGACACAGACACGGGACATGGCAATTTCCAAAAAATAGGGACATGGACATGGTAGGGACACGGCCTTTGATAGAGCCGCGTGGAGAAGAAGGATTCATGTAGCCGACCCCATTTGATGGGACTTAAGGCTTGGTTTGGTTTGGTTTAATACATGTTAATTATTTTATTTATTTATTATATTTTTTAAATAATATGTTCTTATTAAATTTTTTATTTTTACATACATATATTTGTGTTTTTTTATTAATATATATAAATATATATTATATAAGATATAGATAAAATTAATTTATACTTATATATATATATAAGTATATATATATACTAATACGTATATATATTAAGATAAGAACCAAACAGAGGCTAGATAAGACAGAGAGAAGCCGAGAGAGAGATCGCGAGCTCGCGAGAGGTGAAGGCAAGAGAGAGAGAGAGAGAGAGAGAGAGAGATCAAAGTCGAAGGGAGGTCAAGTCATCGAAGTTGAGAAGACGAAGTCGATGGGAGGTCGTCGAAATCGAGAAGAAGTCGGTGAAGTCGAAGGGAGGTCGTTAAAGTTGCCGCTGACCAGGTTTGTTCTCCTTTACTCTTCTCTTTCCTTTGTTCTCCTTTACTCTTCTTCTCTTTCGTGTACTCTTCTCGCTGCCGTGTCCAAATTCTGTGTCCAGATTTGGACACGCGTGTCCCCTCCATGTCTCTGTCATGTCCTCTGCAAACAATAAATTAAATTAAAGGGACATGCCAAACATGTCCCCGTGTCCTACACCGCCACGGCATCTAAAATGGCGTGTCCATGCTTCATTACGTCATGATGTTGCTTATGTAAGGAATTTCTATCTGATCCATAACAATAAGAGTATGTCACTGAGCTCACTAACCCCACCAACTTATGTCTTAGTTAAGAGTTGAAGAATTATTTTTGCACACCAACTTGCAAGAACATGGCAAAAATATAAGTAGACAGTTTAATAACCTTTTAGTGAGCATTATGGTATAAATTATAATCATACAAAAGTGTCTTCATGCAGTGAAACACTTGTAGGCTTACTTGGTCAAAACCAGTGTTGTGAAAGGCGCGCCTAGGCACCAAGCGAGGCGAGGCGAGGCGAGGCAAGGCGAGGCAAGGCGAGGCGCAGTCGGCGCGACTTGAGGAGGCCAAGGCGAGGCGCAGTATAATAGTCATGCGCCTTGGATGCGACTGGAAGAGGCGCAAGTCGCGCGCCTAGTCGGGCTTCTCTGTTTATGCTTAATTCAGATCTGACAGCTGAAAATTGTGTTCCAATAGCCTCCAACACATACGATTACAACTCATATACAATACAATACAAGCGAAATCAGAAGAGGACTCAAATCGAATCCTTAATCTGTGTTCTCCTTCGACTGGGCTCTTCTCTCTCTCGAACCAGGTACTCCTCCTCCTCCTCTTCTTCTTCTTCTTCGAAGCTTTGTCGCGAACCTTTGTCGAAGCTCTTTTGGCAAATTTTTTTTTCTTCGCTATTCGAAATCGATCAGGTCGATCGAGTTTTTTTTTTTTTTTTTCGATTTTTTTTTTTCTTCTGCTTCGCTCGTTGGGTTGCTGGGTTGGGTTGGGTGAATTTTTTTTTTTCTTCTTCTTCTCCTCCTCCTTATTCTGTCGAAGCTCTGTTTTTCTTTTTTTTTTCCCTTCTTCTTATTCTGCTTCTTTTCTTCTTCTCATTCTGCTAGTTAGCTCTGTTCTTCTTTTTCATTTTTATTTTTTCCCTTTGTTTTAAGTCTGTCTCTGTTAAAAAAATAAAAATAAAAAATAGAAAATGACATACATTACATACATTAATCAATTAATTCATCATTAATTAATAGAAAAAAATAGATACATTACATTCATTATGATTATACTGAAATTGATTCATCATTATACTGAAATTAATTAATTCATCATTAATTAAAAAAATAGAAAATTGATTCATATATTACATACATTAATTAATTCATCACATACATTACATTCATTATACTGAAATTGTTTTTCTGTTATTTATTTTTTGTGTTGTGTAGTAAGTACTAAGTAGAAAATGACATCGGAAAGTAATAGAAAAGATCCGGCATGGCAATATTGCCATTTGGTATAGGAGAATAATTTAAACAAGTATGAGTGTAATTTTTGTGGTAAAGTATCAAATGGAGGTGTTTATCTGGTGAAACAACACCTCGCGGGAGGTTATAGGAATGTCACTGCTTGCCCGAAGTGTCCAGCTCATGTAAGAAAAGAGATTAGAGAGTTCATGTCAAAAAAGAAGACACAAAAAGAAGAAATGAACATGCTGCTTGATTTCGATGACATAGACATGGAAGATGAAGATGAAGATGATGACATTGTTGAGATTAATGTCAATCAACGTCGTAAGTTGACAAGTAGCAGCCAAGGTTCATCCAAATCCAAATCAAAAATGCCAAAGAGAAAAGGGCCTATGGATGTTTACTTCACACCCAATCCTGAATCAGTGGTGAAAAATCGAAGAGACCAAGCAAAAGGGAAGCAAACCAAATTGATGCAAATGACCCTTACAAAAAAGAAATGAGAGATCGGGCAATGCAAAGATTTGCAAGATGGATGTATGATGCTGGTATCCCTTTTAATGCAGTAAATTATGAGAGTTTTGGACCAATGATTGAAGCCATTGGGCAATATAGTCCTGGTATGAAGCCACCAACTTACCATGAAGTGCGAGTTACCCAATTCAAAAAAGAAGTGAAACATACTGAAGATTTGATGAAGAATCATAAAGAGAATTGTGCAAAATGCGGGTGTTCCATAATGACTGATGGCTGGACTGATAAGAGAGGAGGGACATTGATTAACTTTTTAGCTAATTGTCCAAGTGGAACCATGTTTGTTGAGTCGGTTGATGCTTCTAGCTATTCAAAGGATGGGCAAAAGTTATTTCAATTACTAGACAAGTTTGCGGAGAAAGTTGGAAAGAGAATGTGGTGCAAGTTATCACTGATAGTGCTGCAGCTAATGTGTTGGCCGGTAAGAATATTTCTTCATTCCTTACATCAAAACTGTTTACTCATAGTTTGTTTTGTATTTAAAAACTTGAAAATAATAATTCTTCGTTATTGTTACATTATAGGGAGGTTTTTGGAAGCCAAGTATGAACACTTGTATTAGACACCATGTGTTGCTCATTGCTTGGACTTGATGTTAGAAGACATTTTCAAGACACCTAGACTGAAAAAGACATTTGAAAGAGGTATTGCAGTACATGGCTACGTTTACAACCGGCCTACGTTGCTAAACATGATGAGGCGCTATACAAATCTGAAGAATTTGATCAAGCCTGCAAAAACTAGATTTGCAACCGCCTTTATGGTTTTGTCTAGGATGCATCAACAACAAAACAATTTGAGAAAGATGGTCACCACCGAAGACTGGACCTCAAGCAAAGGAGCCACAAGGTAAAAGAATGGTACAAACTTTGTTGATGCCTTCATTTTGGAATACTGTTGTGTTTGCCCTTAAGGTCTCGGGTCCTCTCGTCAAAGTGCTTAGATTGGTTGATACCGAGAAGAAACCTCCCATGGGATACATTTATGAGGCAATGGATAGGGCAAAAGAATGTATTGCAAGTTCATTTGATCATAAAGAAGAGAAGTATAATGAAATCTTCGAAATCATCGACAAAAGATGGAATATCCAATTGCATCGGCCTTTACATGCAGCTGCGCATTTTCTTAACCCAGAATTCTTTTACCCAAAAGCGTTAGAGGTGCAAAAAGATCATGAAGTGATGAATGGGTTTTATGAATGCATGCAAAGGTTGGTCCTGGATGTCACTGTTTAAGATTTGATCACTAATGAGATGAGTATTTATATGAAGGTTGAGAGTCTTTTTGGCAAATCTGTTGCGATTAGGCAAAAAAATACAATGGCACCGGGTAATATATTATAGACTCATAGAGTTTATTTTTAGTAATACTTTTAGTAAAATTCAATACTTGGTAACAATTATTTCTAACTAGTGGATTATCGCAGCTGATTGGTGGGCATCATATGGTTCTAAAACTCCAAACTTGCAAACTTTTGCCATAAAAGTCCTTAGCCTAACATGTAGTTCATCGGGTTGTGAACGAAATTGGTGTGTATTTGAACATGTGAGCATTTAACATTCTAACTAATTTTTTGTTCAATTCAAATATATTTTATTCTCATTATGTTGAATTTAATATCTTTTTAATATTTGCAGCTTCATAGCAAGAAAAGAAATAGATTGGAACAACAATGTCTCAATGACTTAGTGTTTGTCAAATATAATAGAACATTGAGATTTAGCTATGACATGCGCAACACTCTTGATCCCATATCTTTGTAAAATATTGATGAAAGCAATGAGTGGTTGCTTGGGAGGATGGATGGATGGAGAATCAAATGAAGATAATGAGCCTGTGTTTGATGATGATGATGGCTTGACTTGGGCCACTGTTGCTAGAGCTTCTGGAGTAGAAAAAAGTAACCACGCAAGTAGAGCAACAAGTTCGCGCTCAAAGGTACAACCGAGGATATCTAAATCATAAAGATTAACTCCACTTCAATTAATAGATGAAGAAGAAGCGGGCTTAAATGACACAGAGGAGGAAGATGTTGGGAGATACAAATCAACTGATGGAGAAAAAGATGATAGTTTGCTTGCCATTGATGTTGAAGATAATGATTGACTGACCGACCTAACCTACCATTTCTTTTGATACTTATGTTTTTAAGTGTTAAAGACATATATTAGTATTTGTTAGATATTTATGTTTTGAATGTTTGGGGTTTATGTTTTTATTTTTATTTTTATTTTATTGAATGTGGATTATTTTATCTTTGAAAATTGAAATGTTATGTAATATGCACTTTCATGGCTTTGAAAATTATTCTATATTTTGTCTTGAATCTTGATTACTTTTTGTTTTTAAAAAAAATTGTCTTAGTACTATTAATGATTAGTCTATGTTAATTTTTCTATTTTTTACTAAAACTGTGCGCCTTACTTCAATAAAGCCCGCGCCTCGCCTTGCGCTTTACGCCTAGGCCCCGAGAAACCTTCAGCGTCTTAGTGCGGCTTGAGCCTTTAAAAACACTGGTCATAACTTTATTGATCCATCTACACCAGAGAGAACAAGATGGGAAATCATTCTGCGCCAAGTACTATGAGGAAATCTCGTCTACCTTGTACTTTTTATCCTTTTTTTTTTTTTTAGGTGTATGTTGCAATTATGCCCATACAGGCCACATAATGAGCATGCGTATTGGTTTCAAATTAGGATACACTCAAGCACCATTAATACCAATCTACCAGGAAGAAAGCGATTTACTTCACTAAAATACATAAGTAAAAGAAAAAGAACAACAAGAACAAGAACAAAGAAAAGATTTACGATTACGAGATTTCCATCCAACAAACAGCTTCTTTAAGTTTCTAGTAAATTTAATGCCTTGTAATAGCCCTTTTCTAACCAAACTAAGTATTAAGGTGACACTAAAGAGGCTTGATGGTCAAGGAGGAAATATTTTAAATCAATCATCAGGATGATAATTTTCAGCATTTGGAATCTCAAGGAAAGGACAAAAGTAAAACATTACAGGATCACAATTGAAATCACTGGGGCAACAATATCCCTATCCCATAAAGATTCACACTCCATAGGAAATCTCCATAACCACTTTCCAAGCAAAGTAATGTTCTTAGCAACAATATTCCCTCTCCCAAGACCCCTTTTACTATTTGGTAGCGAAACCACCTCCCAACTAATCAAATCACTACTACCCTCCCACAAAAACAGACCTCAACATCTATTCAATCTTGTTTGCCACACCTACTGCAATCCTAAACAAAACAAGAGATAGTAAATCAGCACACTAGACAAAATAAATTGTCCTAAAATAAGCCTTCCTCTTGGATATCAATGCCCTTTTCAAACCCTTCAACCTCTTGCCAATCCTCTCAATCAACCCCAATGGAAGCCCTAAAAATTTGATCGGAAAAGACTCAATAGGACACCTAAGACAGCCAGCCACCCTGTGTAGCTTATCTTGTGGAATATTAATACCAATTAACAAGCTCTTATTCCAGTTCTCTTTAAGCCCCGAAGCCAGTTCAAATATTCTAAGAACATAAAGCACATTAACCACTTTACTATTCTTGCTAGAAGATTAAAAAAAATGGCATCATCTGCAAACTGTAATGAAAAACAGAGACCCTATCCTGACCAATCACAAAACTATTTTATTCTCTGGCAAAAAATTATATATATATATGTGTGTGTGTGTGTGTGCCTTCAAAGAAGACCACTTTATAGCTGTTAAGCTTGAGTTCATTCATAATTAGATTGCTCATATCAGAGAAGACTATCTTATTCTCTAGTAAAAAAAACAAACACTCAAAAGGCAAGACAAACCTGCTTAACGATGAAAGGCTCCTCAGCAAGACTCAATGGTTCAGTCAAAATAGTCAAAAAACCATTTCGATTCCCATAAACAATATCCGTGAAGGGCCTGTCACCAACCTACCAGAGACGCGATTATTGTTAGCATGACGAAAAATCAGAAACCTAACGAAATATTTGAGCATTTCTACAAGTTTTATTCTACCATGATAAGTCGTGATGATTCACAACCAAAGTGTTTTTCGATTTCTTCAGCTGTTCCAGCTGGCTTCTTTACCCCTAGAGTTCAACATACAATATAGAGAATCAATTCAGAATTAAAAAAACAAAGATAAAAACTCCACCAAAATTGATGGTATACACAGTTTAAACACAGATATTGCTTACATATTAACCCAATTGATCCAATTCATCCACAAAAAAACAATTTGAACCAAATCAAATAGACAATATATGCAGGTAACAGAGTCTTTTCTATCATAAGTAAAGCCCAAATTAAGAAGCGAACACTTACTATGCCTTATTACTTTAATGCCTATAGCACCCTCAAGAGCTCTAGCTTTCCTCCCATCATGGTCAAACTCATATAGTCCTAATTCATGAAATCAGCAAAGCTAGTTATTACAGAGACAAAAGATAAAAACCAACCTAAAGAACAAGAAAAACATCACAAATAACAAATGGGTTATCATCAGAATTATCAGCAACTCATATAGTCCTAATTCAAGAAATCAGGAAAGCTAAATCAAAAACCAACCTCAACAACAGAGAAAAAAACACAAGTTGCAAATGGGTTATGATCAGAATTACCAGCAGAATTGCTGAACACCGCAATATCATTACCAAACACCGATTTGCATCGTTCCAGAGACGACCCAAGAGGTCCCCACAATGTCAAAGAGTAAGGAACAGTAATAGTGTTGTCTTTGTCAAAAACAACACCTCGAAACCCTCTTCCCTTCAACTCAGCCCAATCAATGTACCGTATATCCCGAACAGAAACATGCGGAAGCGCCAAATGCCGATCCCTAGCGAGCACCGCCAAAGAACTCACAATCCCCTCTATGTTAATCCTCTGCCCCATAGCCGCTTTCAAGTTTGCCCACCAAATGTTTGTCGAAATGCCGAGCTCACTCTCTGCTTTCTCTTCTTCGATCTGTCCTTTCTGGGTTTGGTTTAATCCACTGTTATCATCATCACTTGAAGAGTACAACTCTTCTAAGAATTCCCTTTTGTGATTTGGGTATGAATTGCTTTGATTCTTCTTGTTGCTTTTGCTTTCTTGCTCACAATTGCAGGTGTTTGATGGAGTGAGAGAGAGGAAAAAGTTGTGGGTATTGAGAGGTGAACAAGAAGGGATAGTTCTTCGCTTGTTGGAGAAACGAAGATGTTGAGAGTGGAAGTGTTTAGGGATTGGGTAATAGTAGGCATGCCATGGAGCAGCAGATGAGGTGGATTGCATTTCAACCCCTCTTTTCTTTTAGAACTTTAATTTACAGTCTTGATATGTCCGCCTAAACCTTAGCAACAATATTCCCTCTCCCAAGACCCCTTTTACTATTTGGTAGCGAAACTTTTTGTAAAAAAAAAAGAAAGAGGCCTATTAGAATCTTAAGGTTAGCCAACTTCACTTGTTTTTGTATGTCTCTCCGATGGGCTCTCTTTTGGTTACATGTGTTTGCTAAGTAGTGAAGTTGTCAAGTCCATACTAACTTCATTTGTGGTTCAAAAATAAAACACTAATGGTGTGTTTGATTAGGGGATAAAAGGGGGATTATTTACTATTAAGATTGTAATTCGAGAAAGGCTCTTTATTTGGCGTTTATTTTTTTTTTAGTCCGCCGAACATGGAGTCCGGTTGAACTTCTTATCCCCTATATGGGGGACTATTGTATCCTAGGACAGGTATGAGACAATTTTCGGAGGACTATCCACTGTTGGGATTAGGTGATGAAACGACCATTTTGACTCTCTACTATTTAATTATGTATTATATTTACTAAAATTCAATAAAATTTAAATGTTTCAATTTAAAAATAAAATAATTTTGTTTAACTTTTTATTGATGTTTTATTTATTTAATTTTTTTAAATAGTTTTTTATAGATATTTTATTGATGTTTTATTTTAAAATTTTGTTTATAATTTATTTAATTTCATTATTTAAATTTTAATAGATGTTTTATTTAATTTTATTATTTCATTATTATTGTTTTTAAAAATAAATTTATTTAAAATTTTAATTAAAAAAATAACATATATTTTTATTGATATTTTATTTATTTATTTTTAAAAAAATAAATTTATTTAATTGTGTAAAAAATAAAATAAAATAAAATTTTATTTAATCTAGCTAAAAAATTAAAAAATTAAAGATATATTTAATATTGCTATTACTTAGTAAACAATTAAAAATGAGTAAAATAGTCCTTTGTTCATTTATCATATCCAGTCCGTTCAACCAAACGTTGGATTCACTAAAAATAGTCATTTCCAAACATCTAATTCCATGAAAAAACAAACACATGATACATATCAAATCCAACCAAATAGTTCGGGGAATTCACAGTCCCAAGACTCAAGTCCGATAGATTCTAATATCCACTTATCCAGTCCGTCCAATTAAACACACCCTAAGGAGTGAGTAGGGGGGACTATTCACTATTCGGATTGCTTATCCGAAGGAGTGAGTAGTCCATCGTTTTTTTTTTTAGTCCGCCGGATATGAAGTTCGGCCGGACTCCTTATCCCCCATATGGGTTCTTGTTGCTTTTGCTTTCTTGCTCACAATTGCAGGTGTTTGATGGAGTGAGAGAGAGGAAAAAGTTGTGGGTATTGAGAGGTGAACACGTAGGGATAGTTCTTCGCTTGTTGGAGAAACGAAGATGTTGAGAGTGGAAGTGTTTAGGGATTGGGTAATAGTAGGCATGCCATGGTGCAGCAGAGGAGGTGGACTGCATTTCAACCCCTCTTTTCTTTTAGAACTTTAATTTACAGTGTTGATATGTCCACCACATTTATTTAAAATTTTAATTAAAAAAATAACATATATTTTTATTGATATTTTATTTATTTTATTTAAAAAATAAATTTATTTAATTGTGTAAAAAATAAAATAAAATTTTATTTAATCTAGCTAAAAATAATTAAAATATTAAAGATATGTTTAATATTGTTATCACTTAGTAAATAATTGAAAAATGGTAAAATAGTCTTTTGTTCATCTATCCTATTCAGTCCGTCCAACCAAACGTTGGATTCATTAAAAATAGTCTTTTCCAGACATATAATCCCATGAAAAAACAACACAGGATACATATCCAATCTAACCAAATAGTCCGGGGGATTCACAGTCTCATGACTCAAGTCCGATGGATTTTGATTCCCCTTATCCTGTCCGTCCAATCAAACACACCCAACTTCATTTGGATGGCCGGGTTGAGAAAAGAATAGTTTGTATTCTCTTATTTAGATGAGAAAAGAAAAGTAATAATTAAAAAAATAAAGGTTCAAGTTTGTCTTCAATTTACATTGGACTCGAGTTTACAGTAGACTGGAGAGTAATATTGGCCTTCATGGGCTCACCACGTGTCCTGTTTTAATGACTTGAATCATTCATTTTGTCAAGTTTTATGTGTAGATCACTAGAAAATTCTATTTACACCTAAAAAATCATTAAATACATTCAATTTCTAAGTACAATTTATTAAATTATTTAAGGTTATAATTTATTTTCAATACACTCTATATTTTTTTCTCAAATTATGTTCAAGATATACCTAAATAATAAACCAATCAAAAACTTTAAATTACACCACTTTCATCTTCAAACTCTTCCATCACAAGTGAGATATCTCCTTCGTTGATCTTGCCCATCTCTTTTAGCTTATATATGATGAATTCAGCAGCCCTATTGGAAATTAAGCAAAAAACATACAATTGAAATGAGGGGTTGTTCAAAAATTAATACAAGGTTGGTGCAACGTGGGTTTGTTACAATCAAACTCAAGAACAGGTTGCTTTCAGAATGCCAAGAGACTACCTTCCATCACCATTTCTAGCCGAAGCTGAGACTTGCTTAGATGCCTTACGCTAGGCCGGATCAGGGGTTGCAGGTGGACTTAAGAAGGGACCACGGTGTAACGTGCCCGCCCTAACTTTCAAAAAAAAAATTATTTTTATTTTTATTTTTTAACACAAAATAGATATGGCCCAATCTTTAAAAAAAAAAATACAAAAAGAAAAGTGTTTACCAAACACGTGTGACTCAATCTCTAACTCTAAGATGTATATATACATGGGCAATGATTGGTGGCCACAAATTCTGTGGCTCAAATGGACTGAAAATGTCAAAACGACGTCGTTTTAGGTACAAAACAATTCTAAAAATGTCAAAACGCCGTCGTTTTAACATTTTCAGACCATTTAAACTACATAATTTGTGGCCACCAAACATTTTCCTATATACATACATCATGTCTTCCATTTCTTTATTCATATTATAACACTTTTGTTTTGTGCTACTGCTGTAGTCTTCCTTGTGACTCTTTGACTCACGGCGAATCGAGAGTCCGGATTCTCGGCCGCCCTACCCGGCAGCCTTACCCGGCAGCCCCCAAAACGACGTCGTTTTTGGGGCAAGTTTTCAAAAAAAAAAAACGCAGAGAAGAGGGAGGAAGGAGAGGATTGAAAGGGATAATTGCGAAGGTGATTGTGGATATTCTTTTTTTGAGACATTTTGAAATAAAGAAATGCTATGAGTTAGTAATTATTTGCATTCCATTTTCAATCGAATTATTGTCATTGTTGTACATCTTGACATGTGTTGGAAAATGTTTACTTTGAATAAAGATTATATTGTAATGAGAACTATGGTATTGTGTATGGGGTAAATACGTGGTAAGTCCGGATAAGGGGTGTAGTTGAACTTAATAAGTTGGCCTGAGTGTCCATGGTGAAAGATCAGAAAATCGCACGGATAGGTGTCGAGCCTTCCAGTTAATACCAGTAAAAATGACAATTTGGTAATACTTGTAGAGTCTACTTGCAGTCACTAGCCTAGGGATTACCAGTGTCGTATTTACCGCCTCTATTGATTAAAAATTAGAAGTTTTGAAATAAGTTGAGATTGCAAATTTTATTGAAAGATGGTGATCTTTAAAGGAGCATGAAAAGGATTTGCTTTAAAAGGCGCATGGCATGGCATTAACACTTGCACTTTTAATTCGAGTTTGCATAACTGTATATACTTTGTGAGTATTCTCTACTGGGCTTTATGCTCACCCTTATGGGATTTGGTACAGGTATAGATGTTGTGATCCCACCAAGCTAAGGGTGTGGATATGTTTTGATGAAGAGGAGATCACTCTTTCTTTTGTTATAATTTTTGTAAAGCCTATGGCTAATTTGGTATGGGTCCGAGAGACCATTTTGTGTAACCAGCTATTGCCTTGGAAGATGTAAGCCCTTAAGGGCATTTTATTATTTTGAGACTAGATACTTTACATGCTATAGATTCATATATTCTTTTGTTTCGTTGAATGTATACCGCATGTGGAACTTTTGTATTAAACTCATTCATTAAATATGTGAAGATAGAAGGATTAATGTTATTGTTTAGTGAATGTTCATTAATGTGGGTAGTTCATATTGAATTATTTCAGGGCGTCACATGGAGGATGTTCGGGTGGTCGACCAACTAATGCAAAATTTGTATCAAATTCATTCCATAACCGATTGTTCGGGAGGACATCCGAACGGACGTCCAGTCCAACAGTCATCTACAAGTTTGATAAAAGGTTTGCTCCCTTTATTTGATGAAAAAAGTATTGCGTCCTTTATTTGATATTAAACTAATGAAACGGTTGGAACACCATTTTCATCAGTTTTTCATCAAATTTAAGATCTGATGAAGGATTGGAGATGGTCTAAGAGTATTTCCAAGGTTTAAGATTTCTTTTTCATCAAATTTGAGTAAAAGTTTCATCTGATATAGCGCGTTCCAACGGAGCAATTTGGGATTTCATCAAACTACAGGTTGACTGGGAGGACGACCAGGGAATGTCCGGCCGGTCAATCAGTCAGTATAATTTTTCCATAGATTTTTGCAAAGAGATGGTCGGGTGGGGGACAACCAGCTGGACATCTAGCCAATCGTCCAATGATGGCGTATACCCTGCATCTCCAACGACTATTTATAATAAATTGATGAAAGGTACAACCATTCTCAATTTGATGAAAAGTTTAAGATATCCTGGATTTGATACTGACTTAATGCAAACATTGGAGCAATAAAAGTCTACTCTTTTCATCAATTTAAATTTGATGAAAAAAAAGATGACGCGTTGAAGGCACTCTAAGAGTACTTCTCTTATTTGATTATTATTCGCATATACTGTTTGATTTTGTTTAAACTTTATTCTATTTATAAATAATAACACAATAAGAAATAATGATTTAATGATAATAGTGAGTTTTGGTAGGGTGGATTAGAATTTTGGAGTGAGTAAGAAAAT